ATGAGAAGATGCTGTTCAGAAAAGAGGGCTGTACCTAGTTTTTAAACAGCCAATTTTCTACAGTTTAGCCAGAGCATCCTGTAATTGGCATTATCCTCCTACTCACTCTGGGTGCAGGGATCAGAATGATTCTGCCATTGCTTTCTCTGGGAGGAATAGCTCTGCCATGTACCCCATCTGGAGAATCTGCTGATCAGATGCCCTTTGATCAAACAGTGGAAAAAGGATGTCCAGATCACAATACAGTTCCTCAAGAACCTGGTCTACAGCAAAGGGGGAAAAAAGAACATAATTCAACCAGCATTCAGTTTTAACCCAGAAAAGGGCCTGATTTGATCACAATATAGTTCCTCAAGAACCTGGTCTACAGCAAAGGGGGAAAAAAGAACATAATTCAACCAGCATTCAGTTTTAACCCAGAAAAGGGCCTGATTTCCCTACCAGGGAAGAGAAAGGAGACTACTCAGTAATTAATAACTTCAGTTCTTCATATCACTCATCTAAATCTCATGTTTCCCACCAATCTCCAAGGATTACATCCAGGAGGCACAGTTCTTGTATATCCCAATACAGAATGTCCTGGATACATTATAAGAAAATGGTACATTGAACTATCATGAAGGTCCATTTTCTAGAGCAGAGTGCAGCATCCTTCCGTCCATCCTTCACAGTATTGTTGGGAAAATGCCCACATAATAAAGCTCCACACCAGACAATATCAGAAAAGGAGGAGGGAACATCTGTAGTCATTTGTAGCATTTCATATTTTTCCCGTTTCTGTCTTTCTCAAATATTCTTTCTTTGAGCTTCTCTTTTTGGCTTGTTGTTCTAAAATTGGGGAAAAGGCAATCTCCTTCCCCCAGTCCTACCTCTGAAATAGGTGAGAGGGAGATACTGACTATAGAGTGCCCTATAGTTCATCCTGTTTTGCAGAAAATGGGTCTTCAGAGTAAGTCCAATACACTGTCTTTGGAAGCAAAACAAAACTAGTTTTCATTGGACAATTAAACAAGAGATGATCTAATATTTAAGTGTATGGTTAGAATTTTTCCTATTTAAATTCTCAAAAGAGCTGGTAATAATGTAAGTCAGATAGTAAATATTAGAGGTTTAAAATTATGAGACCATTATTAAATGAGATCAAAGGAATCCTCAGCAAAGTACTGTCCAAAATCATGGTAAAAGGGTGAGACTTTTACATTACAATTATTCCATTGAAAGTTCCAAGCTGATAGAGTTCCATAGACCAGCTTTTCTATTATTTAATCTCTCTGTGTCCCAGTATTAAGCATTTACTACAGTAAATCCGTCACCATCTGGTCTGCTTTTTGCAATTTATTATAGTGATTCAAGATCAAGATGGGAGCATGGGGTGTATGAGCAATACAGGAGCAGACTCGTCAGTATCAGTGCTGTACAGATAGTCTTCGTTTAGCAACTGTCTTGGATAGTGACCATTTGCAAATACAACAGTAATAAACAGTAGTAAACAGTAGTGAAAAAATCATTTTCCAACCAATGCGAGCACTTATGCCCAAATTTCTGCACCTGACAAAAATGCACACCAGAGTGAGAATAATGCTGGTGTTGCTGCACGATAGAACTTTATCTAAATGAGATAGCAGCAACCAGCAATCTTCACAGCCCCTCCCTCCCTCCCTCCCTCCCTCCTTCTCTCTCTTTCTCTTTCTCTTTCTCATGTTCTTTGTGTGTCAAGTGGTTCACTCAGCAACCGTGTCACTGAGAAACCATTTCCCCAGAACCAATTGCGGTTACTAAACAAGGATTACCTGTGGTATCAAAATATTATGTACTACGTACATCCCTAAATGGTAATATCTACAATCTATCATAACACTTACATTGATCCAGGAACTTTGCATATTGATTAGCTCAGGTTTTAATCTATGTTTGTCTGATTTCAGTCTAATATATCTTATTTGAGATGCAGCCTGGGTATACTGCAAGTAGAGCTCCCGACCATTGTGGCCAAAGGCAAGCTGGAAATTCCGAATGTTCATTCTAGTATATTGGAGGCAGAGGAGGGGGGAGACAGGTTGAGGAAATCTAATGTAATTGCATTGCAAAATCCTTGTTAAGTCCTATTACATTGAAACTGGAAGCCTAACCACTGTAATATTAACATGTTTCTCACATGAATTATGCATACTTCTGACATTTGTAGCATACTTTGTGTTGTTTTATAGGATCACATTTTCCTATTGGAGTTGTGCCACCCAGAACAAAGTCACCAACCCCAGAATCTTCAACAATAGCTTCTTACGTGACTTTAAGGAAAACAAAGAAGATAGATCTAAGAACGGTATTTAAAAGAAATATATTGTATTCTTTGCTGCCTCTAATGCTCTCATCAATATGGCATCTCAGCTAGTAACATGGCAGCAATATGGATGTAATAGGTATATGGAATAACCTTGAGGAACAGGAGGAACAGCCACAACCAAGACGGCGGTTAGATAAAAGAAATCTGAGTCCAGGGCAGAAATATAATTTGATAAAGTGTCTCAGACAGAACCCTCCCTAGTTCTCATGAAGATAAAGGGAGGGAGAGGGGAAGCACATTCAGATTTGCAAGATTCTGTTACTGTAATCTTATAATAAAAGTAGTATTAGCATTCATAACCTTGGTTTCCTGGCCTGATCTACCTTGAAGGGTTGAAAATGGGCTAATATGGTACAGGAATGTTATCCAAAACCTTGGCACAGAATTAAATAGGATTGCGATCAGCAGCAGGAATGGAAATACCTTTCCCTTCAGAAAATAATTGGTGTCCCAGAGGTCTGTTACCCATCAAACATGTGTTTTCCATGAGGTCCAAGGAACGTTTCTATATTGTACATTAGGAAATATGGTATAAGTTTCTCCCAAGTTGATCCTAAACCAAAGACCTTTATTCCTTACATACTTTGTCATTCATATGAATGCCATACAGAAAAAATGCTGCTAATCCAGAATGGAATATCAAAAGGAGTGTATCCTTTGAAAAGCATGGTAAATCTATCTTCCTGGCTTTCTACCTTGTAGCACCATGATCAGAACAATGCTGTGAAAAGTTAAGAGGTGAGAAATTGTGTGGAGGCTAGGAAAGGTATGGAAGGGAGAATAAACATAAACGATTGAGAAGGAGGATGAGTCAGCTTAGCTCTTATCTCATAAATAGCAACTCAGCCCAGATAGCAAGAAACCTGGGAAGAAGTGCTTCAGAACATTTAAGGAGACTCTGCCTTAATGAACTCCCTATATATATGAGGGTAGGAAATTCCTCATGCCATTGTCAAGATTCTGTATTTACCCCAGACTAGCGTTAAAGATAACTTATTGAAATCTGTGTGGTTCTTGTTTCCTGGATCTAGCCTCGCCACACACGACTTGACCACATAGGGCATCTAACACAACCTTTCATTAGAATCACCACTGATAAACAGAAAATGCAAATAGGCAAAGGAAAAATTACAGTGCTTTCACTTTATCAGTGCAACCCGTTCTGTGCCTAACTGAAGATTGGAAGGAGGCTCATTTAGGCATTTTTACAGTGCTGAAAATCTGCCTGCTGATATTCTAGATGACGTGCGTGAATGGAGTCAAAAATGTTTATGGGGTTTCTCACTGGGCAGTATATTAAGAACCTGAAAATCTTGATGATTCAATGCTTCTGTAGCATTTGGAATAGCCTTGTTGCTGAAGGACATGGCAACTGTGGCAAAACATTGTCCTTTGGGGAAGTACTTTTATTATCACCCCTTTTCTTTCCTTCAAGGAAAGGCCAAGAAGCGCAGTGGAGCAGTTATGCTTGGCAGAAAGTACTCGCCCACGAATGACAGTGGAGGAGCAGATGGAAAGAATAAAAAGGCACCAACAGGCCTGTTTGCGTGAGAAAAAGAAAGGACTGAATATTATTGGCATTTCAGATCTGTCCCCTTCACAAAGCCCATCCCTTTTCAGAGAAAATCCTTTTAAATTATTGCAGGTATGGCTACATGTTCTGTTTCTTTCAATGGAACACTCACAGACAAAAACAACGTTCTGTTGATATTATCATTTGAAGGACTCTGTACATTCTTCCTTACTAGTGCTTGGGTAGGGCCACCAGCAAATCTCAGCTAGAATGGAAAAGAGCAGCAGCAATCTACTTCTGTATCATTGTTGGGAAAACAACGTGGACATGTCCATGAAGCCACCAGGAAGTTCAGTTCAGAAGAGACTTTACCTTTATTTCTTATAGCCAAAGAAAAGGTTGTAGAGTCCTTGGTGCTCTCTGAGCTTGTTTGTTTGCTTGTAGATGTTTCATTACCTAACTAGGTAACATCATCAGTGCATTGATGATGTTACCTAGTTGGGTAATGAAATGTCTTCAGACAAACAACCATGTTCAGAGAGCACCAAGGACTTCACAGTTCAACCCTGAGCTATAGATACTCTCTTCTGTTGAACATGTTGTTTATCTGACTTCAGATTAGTGGAGCTTTACTTCCAGTAGTGACAAGAAAAATCCTGGTGTGGAGTAGAAGCAGAAAGTATAACATGCATGACATTTCAGCTTTCATAAATCCCAGTCAGGGAAGATTATGAGACTTGAAAGTTCTAAATATCTGCAAGCCATCGTCTTAGAGAAGTTTGATTTGGAGCAATCTTCCTTCTCCCTTGATATACACCTTTCTACTTCTTCGATTTCTGAAGGGCCATGAGAATTTTTTATAATGTTGGTGTCAGAGTGAAAATTAAGGGGCATCTAAATATTCTTTTACCAGGGCTCCTAGTACAGGTAGGCCCCAGTTTAAGAATGAGTTCCGTTCCCACGGTCTGTCCTTAAAGCAAATTTGTATGTAAGCTGGAACAGTATTATATAACAGTAATACATTATAAGTTGTATTGTGTAATTAACTGGAACCATTGTGTATTTAACTCAAATCATTGTGCATGTAACTGGACAATGATTTTGCTACAATAGGCTCCATTCTTAACTAAGAGTCATCTGCAAACCGGGCATTCTTAGCCCGGGGACTACCTATAGACAAAATGACTTTTTCCAAGTACAGTGGTACCTCGGGATACGAACGCCTCTACTAACGAACATTTCGGGTTACGACCAGCTTCGGCA